ATAGCAACCGTATATAGGGTTTCCGAGAAGTACCTGAGGGGTTTAACCACCAACCTTGCGGTTTAGTGCTTATCCTACTGTGCCTCACCAGGATTTGCAGTACAGGTTGTTGTTGTTGTTGTTTAGTGCCATCGAGTCAGTTCTGACTCATAGCGACCCTGTATAGAGTTTCTGAGCGGCTGGTGAGTTTTTAACTGCCAACCTTGTAGCTCAAACCAATCTTGTAGTCAAATACTTATCCTAAAGTGCCATACCAGGACAGAAGCAGAGATTTGGAAGTGATATAAAAGTAACTGTCATAGCATAGTCCACAGACAACTTTCTACATCCTATTTTGTTGAGTAGTGACTGGGGTGATAAAAGCTCATGAGCAACCAAAGGTCCAACTACTGGTCTCTCCTGGTTTGAAGCAAAGAAGAGTGAATAAAGTAAAAAATACAAGATAACCATTAGTACAATGGACTAATGAACAATGCAAACATGATATTTAGACCAGAACTAGATAGTGCCTGGGAACCGTATCAATTATTCTGAAGGACAACTCAAAGTCCTGGATTAAGTAAGAGAAAAATGTTTTAAAAAACTCAGTCATAAAGCAGACCAGGCTTACTGGTCAGATAGAGACTAGGAGTACCCGCAAGACTATGGTCCTTAGTTATCCTTCAGGCTGGGAACTGAACCCCATGGCTCCATTTTCAAACAAACAATAGGTCGAGAGTCCTGGTGTGGCACTGGTAAGATAAGTACTGGACCTCAAGGTTGATTTGAACGACAAGGAGGTGGTTGAAATCTGCCAGCTGTTCCTTGGAAACCATATACAAGGTCACTATGAGGTAGAACCTACTCAATGGCACTTAATAACATAAGGAGAAAAATAACATTATGAAGGTACATACTCCTTAAGATAATCACTCATTTGAGATTAAAAGGGGAGTATTTACCAAGGATAAAGATTAGAAGGGTTAGGAAAGGAGGAATGGAAACAGGAAACACAGGGAGAAAGTGGGATAGACATAATCACATTTAAAATGCTTCAATATATGCAAACAGTGTAGTAAATGGGGTTAACAATATTTTAAAGTTGCAATGGTACCATCAAACAGAGCCACAAAACTTTACTTAGACAATCATATAAGAATTTGATAATACAAAGGAGAAATTAGGTCCTGCAAAAGCTGTAATTTGTGGCAAGTGAAGGTGTATGCTCAAGTAATGCTGTAGTGTGAGGTTTACACTCAATGTTACAGCTAGAGGGGTCTTCACAGCAAACCTCATTTCTTATTCACCTCAGTAGTAAAAACCCCAGGAGTTCTATTTCAATAACAAAATCTACTTCTAGAAACTTATGGACTCATTTTTTTTGCACATACGCCTGCCTACAAAAAGACAAAATTTCTTTAAAACAGGGGCCAAGTCTTTTTCTCTTCTATACGCACAGTACCTGTTGTTGTTTAGTGCCATTGAGTTGGTTCTGACTCACAGTGACCCTGAATATTTTCGAGTGGCTTGTGAAATTTGAACCACCAATATTGCAGTTCAAACCAACCTTGTGGTGCCACATGAGAACTCGACACAGCACCTAGTGCCTAGTAAACAGTGGCGTACAATATATATTTTTGGATAAAGAATGGAGGAAAGCAAATTCTGTGCAACATGAGAAGGAATCATAAATTCTGAGTTAAATGTGAAAATTGTTTCCTCAAGATTGGAACATATGAACAGATGCCTGAAAACTTAGTTTTCACTACTGATAGGTTAAAAAAAAAAAAAGTTATAAAAGTACGAAGTCTAGAAACAACCCATAGCACTAAACCCACTGACGTTTTGTTGATTTTAACTCATAGTGACCATGTGTAGGGTTTCCAAGGCTATAAATCTTTATGAGAGCTGTCAATCTACCATGGAGCAACTAGTGGATTTGAACCACTTACCTTGTGGCTATACTTGCTTATCTTGCATCGCCACCAAGGCTCCATCCATAGCACTAGGACTACCACCTAAGGTTTACTTTCAGGTTTTCACTATGAAAAATGAATTACTGAGAGGTAATACAGAGTAGGATCTAAAGTTTTGAAATCAAATAAAAACTTTTGGGTTGGGAGGAGATAAGGCATGGAGAGAGAATGAGCCCAGTTAGTTTAGGGATTGATAAGACATATGAGCTAGCTTTAATTACAAAGGAAGACAACCTACAAGTTGCTGTTTTTAAGTGCCATTGAGTTGGTTCCGACTCATAGCAACCCTGGTATGGGATTTCCGAGGAGCAGCTGGAGGGTTTGAACCACTGACCATGCAGCTCAAAATGACCTTGCGGTCTAGTGCATTATCCTGCAGCGCAACACCACAACTCTGTGATTCTTAAACTATGGAAGCAGTTTTCATCCCCATACTACCCTTTTGTCTGACATACTTTTATATAGTTTAAAAACATAACAGAAAAATGATCACATAATTTAATATTGCAACAATATTAAATTACAATATAAGTTTCTAGACACTCTCTATTTCTTTACTACTCCACAAAGACTTTTGAGGTGCACTGACCAAGTTTCTTTTTGAATGTCAATCTAACCTGAAAATCTTGAGTTACTCCAAGTAAAAAACTGCAGGTGTTTCCAACACCCCCATTCAAGAATGAAGATAATTCACAGATACCATTAGAAATAAAGGTAGAGAGACTTGTTATTAATTTGTTTTCCATTTCTGAAAGTGAAACTCTTCACTGTCACAATGTCTTACTACATTTATTTAAATTACTCTTAAAATGCAATTTTAGCTGATAGGAATGTCAACTATCAACTTGAAAAGCTTGCTTGTTTTACTGTTCATCTTAGATGATAACTCATGATATAGGTACTTACTTAGACAATAAGAGGTTTAAGGTCTCTAAACCCAAATTTTCAGGACTCAAATCCATACTTTGCCACTTATAAGCTGTAGTTATTAAAATTATGAATGATTTTTTAATCATTCTGCACCTATGAACTAGCGCCAACAGCATCTATCTTAAAGGATTACTGTGCAGGACAATGTACATGTAAAGTGCTTAGAACAATGCCTGGCACACAGCAGGTACCAATATAAGTGTTATGATTATTTGCTTCTTATTTAATCTGCTTCAAAATTTTTGGTAGAATTGGGAAATAAAATGGACTAAACAAAATAACTACTATCTCTACAATGAAATACTATAAATTCATTAGAAATTAGTTAAATTCTCTGATATGAAAAATATATTTATCCATAATATCCTACTGGGATAGGAAAGGGGAACAAAGTGGGGGGAAAAAAAAGTGTTCTGTATTTTAAAAATGCCACTAGAGAAGTTATGAAAAGCTCCAAGTCACTGTGATATGTAAGCGACAATAGCCAAAAGTGATTCAGAGTAATTTATCATACTCTTCCACTCCCTAGAAAAAAAGGCTTAAAATAAAATTTTGATAATGATTCTAAAATGGTAAGTGACGGAATTGCTAATAGCAAACTACCAAGTATTTTTTTTTTTTAATTTTTAAGTGTATACAATTTAATATATTTCTCGTCTGCCCCCAAAAGCTAATACTTCTTATAACTGGATAGCATCTTAAAATATCTAATTTCTTAAAAGACACTACTACTCTGATTCCACCCATGGCCAACACATACGACCACGTTCACTTTTAAATAAACTCCTGAAGTTGTCCACAATTATACATATCAGCACAGACAATAAATGAGCTGAACCAATCACTCAACCTTAGTCAGAGAATATTAAGTACGTTATATTGAGAAGACTATAGCACAAAAGAGTGAATTATTTCTAGAATAACGAACAAGCATTGATACTACTCAGGTGGTAGCCCCTTTGGTACCCTTTCAACTGTTTTAAAATTCTGCAATGAAATCAAAGCTACTAACTTCATGTTTATTTTATACAGAATTGTTGTTAAGTTTATAGGCTTTAAAATGATTAATCCATAATCACCATTTAAAATCAACTAATTATTTTCACTCTGCTGCCTACAGTTTAGCTTACCCTTCTGTATATGCTAGCCATTTTTCATTTCACAGGATCTGAAATATACAATTATGTATTAAATACAAAAATTGTTCAAGTTTGCTTTCCAATGTTGTCTACAAAGAATAGAACAAATTTTGAAGTTTACACAAAATCATACTGTACCAATTTACCAATGTAAATATAAGTAAGTCTTCATACCCATTCATTCCATTCTATTAGACAGTAGCACTAACAAAATCCTTAGTGCACATGTCCCCACCACCTGGTACTCTTTTCCTATGCTATCACTTTGACACTTATATAAGAACATCTCTATTTAGCAACCAAGTTTTACAACCACTATTCCTGCCAATTAGGTGATACAAGAGATCAATTCTTATTTTAACAGTGTAAGAGTACTACATTATTAACCTAAGACTGAAAGACAAGGACTGTGTCTAAGTTTATATATAAAAAAAAAGATAGCCACTTCAATTTAATTCCATGTATATGATGCTACCTATTGGATTTATTAAAATTTTTAATAACCAAAATACTCAGACTAGTGTTCCAAACTTATGCTGATGTTCATGTGGAAGACACTACAAGAGAAGACATAAGAGACTGCCTTGCAATAAGAAATACAAATTCCTTCTAAAGAGATGGAGAAATAAAAGGACAAATCTAGTTGTCTAAAAGACAATTCACTGTACACATTTTATTTACAGTTTTGTACACTGTCTTATTATGAATGGGACCGCTTTTCTACTTGAGCCATTTTAACCAAAGCAAAATAACCTAAGTAATACAAAGTTAAAATACAGCATAAAGATATAAAAACAGACATACTAATTCTACTTAGGAATGTAATTATGATGTTACATTTTTAAATCCACAATTATGTTTAGGAAATCACACAAACATAGATCACTGATTTGAATGAAATGCATAAATTTGTAGCAAAGCTTTGTAGTTATAAAAAAAAAACAAAAAAACAACAAAAAAAAAATTACCAAAGAATGCGCAAAATTAATGTTTATTCCACCTTTGTGTCATATTCCTGGATCCTTCACCAATGTTACATGAGGAAAAAAACAGAAGCAAAACAAAACGATAAGCTGAAATCAGAATCACTAATGTTATCAAGTAGGGAAACAAATAAATTAAAATCTAGCAGCCATCAGCGAGAGTACAGCAAAAACAATGCTGTAAAAAGAAACAAAGAAAATTGCTAGAAAACTGTATGCATCATACTCTTTCAAACCAGCAAAATATGCTCCTGCATACAATGGTACATAAACACTTTTTTTTTCCTGTAAGGTATAGAAATGCATGTTGTTTTTTGGATATTGTGGCTGGGCAAATGTTTTGTAATATGAATTCTAATAAGCTATAACAGAGTGGGCCAGGAACACGTTTATGGATTCTGGGGATGATGTGTACTGTTATTTCTTTGATTGGGATAGTAGATACTATAACCAAAATTAAAAAAAAAAAAATATGAACACAGAAGTACAAGACAAAGGCGAATGAGACTTCTCTTATATCTTAGCAACATTTAGATGGAAATCAAATTTAAATGCAGTCCACTCTGCTTTTGAAGAGGCTTTGGTTCAGCTCCCAAATCTCGATTGCTTGACGCAGTCTCCTATGAGAATATTCAGAAGGTGTCTTCTTAAACAACAAACCTATTTTTAGTGGTGGAGCCGCTTTTAGTAGCTGTGTCTGCATGGGACTGATAACCAATCGCCATCTTTGGAGGAAGTCCTAACCTTTCCTTGTATACTCTCCTAGAAAAAGAAACAAGTCATTACTTTTTATTCATATCTTTCTAAAAGTAGATATTAGTAATCTTGATACAATATCTAGACTGTAGAATTAAACAAAATTGTATACTTTGCCTATACATACGATGTACTCCACATTTTTATAGCAATCTTGGTTAATCAATTAATATTTGAGAACCTACTATGTAGCAGGGACAGTGGTATTACTGCTAAAACGAAAGTGAGCAAAGTAGGGACAATCCCTGGCTCAAGCTATCTATACCCCAGTAAGGAAAATAACCACAAATATAAATGGGGGAGCTGTATCACATTTGCACTTATTTACACAAAATGACTTATATGCACGGCTTCTTTCATTCTTTGATCTGTTATATGATCTGAAATATAAAGCTGTACTTTTCACATTATTTTTTTTTTGGTGCCATCGAGTCAATTCTGACTCACAGTGACCCCATAGAACAGAACAGATCTACCTGGTAGTGTAGTGGTTACAAATTGGTGTGCTAATATCACGGTCAGCAGTTGTAAACTACCAGCTGTTCTGCGGGAGAAAGATGAGGCTTTCTGTTCCCGTAAAGATTTACAGCCTTGGAAACTCTGTACAAGGTTGCTATGAGTCAGAACCAACTCCACGGCACATAACAACAACAATCCCATAGGATTTCTTTATGGAAGCAGACCATCAGGTCTTTCCGCCAAGGAGTCACTGGTGGGTTTGAACAACTGACCTTCCAGTTAGTAGCTAAGCACCTGACCATTGTGCCACCAGTGTTCCGTTGTATTTCATGTATGAATCCTAGCAAATATTATATATTAACTGCAAGGTCAACAGCCACTCCTAAGAAACCCTACACAGGCTCACTATGAGTCAGAACCAATTTGGCACTTAGTAGCAGTACACAATTACATTCATTTCGCCTATCACTGACAAAATTGTAAACACATCTATAAAAATTAAAACACTTTAAGGGTGATTTATGGTATTTTAGAATGTGTATGATTTTTAACTTACACATATTCACTGACTCTAGAACCTAATTTTCAAGATGCCACTCTACTGTAAGACTAAGTATGATCAGTTTCAAAATGGGCAAGAATAAAGACTATGATACTATATAACAAGGAGGACTTAATCTCATATAGAAAATGAAAGAAGCTCCTGTATCAAAGTAATGAGGTTAAAAGTATAATGTCAAAAAGACTAAGCACAATAAAGGCAGAAGAACAAAAATAAGGCTATGGTTACAGGTCATCAAGAAAATGAGTATAAAATATACAAGACGACGACGGCCAGCAGAAGAATGATGAAGCCAGGTGAAAACACAGGGACACGTATGCAAGGGCTAAAGGGGATCATGGTAAATAGTGAAATATACACACGAACAGAGGCATAGGCAGAATGGGTATGAGAGCAAGAGTGTGGTATATTATATAACCCTCAAATAGATAAAGTTTTGATAAAGAGAATATTGGTAGATGGGTATTTAGCTTTCCTGCAAACATTAACTATGAATGTGGCGGAGCACATAGTGGGCAAAATAAAAACTTCTGAGATATGAGTTTCTGGACCTGGGGGCTGAGGGAAACCATGGTCAATTCACGTAACACAGTCCACAAAATGTTCTACATCCTACTTTGGTGAGGAGCGCCTGGTATCTTCTAAGATCATGAGGAGCCATCTAAGGTGTACCTATTGGTCTTTATATGCAGAAGAAGGAAAAGTGAGGAGAATTGAAGAGGCTTGCAATCAATTAGTTCAACGAATTAATGAAACATTTGAACATCATTTCTCCATGACACCGAGACCAGAACTAGAGGGTGCTCACTACCACTAACAACAGCTCTGAAAAGAATAACACTGCAAGAAAATGTGGAAAAAAACTCAAATTAAACAAACAATTAGGCTTACTGATCAGAAAGAGACTGGAGGACCCTGAGACTACAGCCCCCGACCATCCTTCAAATCTGGAAAGGAACCCACCTTTGTGGCCCAATTTTTACTCAAGTAAACTTGAGGGATAACACTACTAGTAAGGAATGTTGTTGTTAAGTGCCATCGAGTCAGTTCCGACTCATAGCGACCTTGTAAGGAGCAGCTGATGGGTTTGAACCACCAACCTTGTGATTAGCAGTCCAGTGCTGTCTCTACAGTGCCACACCAGGATGCACACCACAGAATGGCCAATCATTCAAAATCAAAAGGGCAACATTTACCTAAAGAGAAAGTTGAGAAGGGATGGGAAGGAAGGTAGAATGGAAATAGAAACCAAAGGAGGAAGTGGGATAACTGTTGTAACATGGAAGGGAGTATAATCATGAAACAAACTACAATTTGTTTAATGTAAAACTGATGATCTGTCTGTAAGCTGTCAATAAATTCACAATAAAAAGTTTAAATAAGAATATGAATATGACCCAGGATATCAAGGTGCCTCAGGACAGATGACAATAGGTCACCGTAGTAATTTGGATCTTTATACTAAGACTAACAAAAATAAATAAATAATAGAATCAAAACTGAAGGAAAATTGTTTTACAGGAGCTAATGTCTTCACAATATGACACTGGAATATTTTTTCATTCATGACTTCCACATGCCAGATTTTACTACTTTCCCTCCAGTATTAAGTTGTGGAAAAAATCATTTTATAATAAAAATTTCAACTACTGTCAGATTTATAAAAGTCATACAAACTCAGTAGGGTTAAAAGTAAAAATCTTCCTTGAAAAATTAAAGTTAAAATGCTTTATAGAGATTCGAAAAACTTTTAATGTGGCACAATTTTAAATTTTTTGAGGTAATCATACTTCTTTAATTCTGATTTTCAAAGAAATGTGAAACTCCACAATTAAGTTTTGATGCTGGTGAAAAAAGATCAGGAATGCAATGACAAACCTACAGTTACACTCACTCGTCGCTTACGGACATGGATGGATCTGTTCCAAAGACCTGGAACAAAATGGTCATTTTTCCATTTTGAGGATGGATGTCCACACACTATTACATAAATGCCAAATTACATCACTACATACTTGCCAAACCATCACGAAATGCGGTCCAGTCAAATAGACCCATAATCTTAGCCATCACAGCTTCGCTACTTTTACACCTCACAAAACTCAGTGTTTGCTGCTGTCAAATGTATGGTCATAACACGCAAAACAGTCAGATAACAGATTTTTATACTGTTGTCATTAAGTGCCACATAGTCAGTTCTAACTCATAGCAACCCTGTATAGGGTTTTCAAGGAACGGCTGGTGAGCCTGAATTGCCTATCTTGTGGTTCAAACCAACCTTGCAGTCCAGTGAATTAACTAACCCAGTGTCACACCAGGATTCCTCTTTACGTTGTAGTAAATGTGAAATATTGAATGAGTTGATAAGTGAGGAGTCAATGTAATTCCCTTATGCCGAAATTTATGTAAATTAAAGCCTAGAAAATTCCTATTTTTTGTTCTTGTTGTTTTACAGAATAATTAAGTTCATATGAGAATTCATGTTTGAAAATTCACACACAAAAGGAAAAAAACAAACATTTTGATCAATACTTGTTATTAACACAAAAAAAAGTCATTTTACTAATTTAGATGAAAATCCTAGTTAGTACTAACAATGGTGGGAAAAGACAAAATGTAGACAATATTCGTACAAAGAATAAAATTTTAAATAAAAAGTCTATGTATGTGTACACATACAAAATACATTGGTTTGTAATAAGTGTGGTACATTAGTGCTGTGATTCCTAAGTAGGAAAAGAGAATCACAGCCTCACCTGGGAAATGAAATATTACATGCCAAAGTAGAGAGTAACTTTATAAAAATTAAAAAATTATGAATAAGACATTAAGCACCAACAGTGCTTAAAAATTATACAAATGTCCATGAAAACAATACAAAGAACATATTTCTAAACCTCCCAATAAAATGAAGATTTTTAGCTATATTAATAATGTCAAAATAGGTAAACAGTAAAACGTACCCTATATGTGTAACAGCATCTCTGTTTTCACATTCAGTAGTCCATATTGCTATCTTATCGCCTTTAGCTCTAACATTAACAACAGCTCCACATACATCATCACTGTAGTCATCAAAAGATTCTCCAATAAGGCACAGCAGCTTAAAAATAAATCAATCCAAAATTGCATTCAACAGATTTTAAAACTGCAAATGTCTAATATATAAAACTAAATTCAAACAAGACTTTTTTTATATGAGGCTATTATATATTAATTATTACTGATTTTGCTATCTGTGAACTTATCCCATCTAGTTGTTCAATTTTTCCCATCATTTTTAAACTAGAGTTGATGTTTCAGCAAGAATTGGAACCAACTCAACATCACCTAACAATACAACAGATTCTATTTATGCATATAGTTCTTTGTCCTGACTTTTTAATATAGAATTCTAAAATTGCATTTATTGATGGTGGTGGTGGCTGTGTGCTGTCCTGACTTATATCAATGACTTCTGCGGCTGTAAATCTTTACAGTAGCAAAAAGTTTCATCTTTCTCCTAGCATTTATTAAATGCTAACTATAAACCAGACACTGTGTTACAACATAGGAATTCAAAAGGTTTGTGGGAAAATTCCATTCCACTACCCTTTAATTCCATTTTTCCAAGAACTTTTTGAAGCCCTCTATCATGTCTTGTAAAGCAAAAATCCCAGAATACACCACAACATACAAGTTGGATGGTGTTTAACAATTTCATTGTTTGTGTCTATGATATGCTGTAATTGTTAGGCTAACAAACTGACAATGAGCAGTGGAAAGAGTCAAATGTCAGTCACTTTATATCTAATTGGCAGTATGATGATGCAGGGGGAGCATGGGGTATAATACAAATAATATACATAATTTATATGATAAAACAAAACTGGGGTTTATATTTTCTACAGTGAGCATCCTATCCCTTCTCTGTCTTTTGGCTAAGATCAAGTGTAGAATGAGCAATCTTATGTCCTGTTAAGTAACTAACATCAAATGAACTTAAGTTTCAGTATTCGAAAACTTTCTCTAAAGCTATTTTGTAATTTTAAAACCTTACTGTCTCTAGCCAAAAGCGATCGAGGTCACTTCGTCTCTGCTGTTTGTTCAATGTAATTAGCCATCGTCCTCCTCGTTTGTTTTTCTCATCTTCCCACATGGGCTCAATACCATCCTACAGAGTTAGAAGAAAATAACACTAAACAATATTGCTACTCTGCCTTTGAAAGATAATCATTATAAAAAGCAAATAATAACTCTTAACTTCTACTGCATTTACTGTAACACTTCATTGATATAGTAATGAAAGATACAGCATATAGGAACTTAAAGCCAAAAGCATGGGATTGCAGAATTAGAGTTTTGGCTTAACACTTATGCTAGGTTCAAAGTTCTTAATAACTTTTTGAGTAACAGATGTCTTTGAGAAAAGCTATGCAGCACATTTTTACAAAGCCCCTGAGTGGTATAGTTTATAACCAAAAGATTGGTTGTTCAAGTCTACCATGCTACTTCTAAAACAACCAGTCATTGAAAGTTCCAATGGCGCACAGCCTCTACTTTGACACACAAGGGGTTGTCATGAGTCACAATTTACTTTACAATTAAGTGGTGCTTCTGGTATTGGTAGTACAATTTTACATCCAGAAAAATATGTACAAAATTGTACAATTTTAGAGTTAATGAGTAACACAATCCTCCTAGCCCGATAAAGCCTACTCATGGATCTCTCGAGGACGCATGCCTCCCTGATTAAAAATCCATGACAAACTCTGGGCGATTTCACTTTCCTCAAATATATGAAGATTATACAGGCAAAGCTGTTTTTTCAAAATCAAGCAGAGAATGTACACATACAATAAGACTCTCACTCAATATCTATATATACTATAAATAGGGGGGGAATTTTTTTAAAGTTATTATTATAATCATCACAATATTAATTATTCCTAAGCAAGATTTCATAAGGACTACCTGAATGGTTCAGAGTCCTATAGTAAATATACAAAATCACCAATTAAGCATACCTTAAAAAGTGAGTAGTCACAGCCAGGCATTAAATTACTAGACAACTGGATATGGTTGTACAAACTGGGTAAAAGAAAAGGACAATTATAAATACAGAACATATAATGCTGAGTGCAAGGACTTATGTATACATTTAGAGAACCTTATGAAAATATATATAACGTTCATGTTTACTTATTTTTCTACCAAGTGAGGCTCTATAATAGAACAGAAGAGATCTGATGTTAGTTTAGGAATCAATTTCTGATGACACATAGGATTTTCAAAATCAGATATTCAATGAATTTAGCATGACAAAAAATATTTTAATGTATGTATTTATGTGTGTGTGTATATATATATATATAAAAGAAACTGAGAAATAAGTTTTGAGATGACTTCAAGTAGGTGAAAACTTTATGAAGCTAATGAGCTTTGTTCACACACACACACACGAGACATTAAGTAAGATAAAGACAAATTTCTGGAACATCAGAAATGCATGATCGATATAAATTAACATTATTCTCAGAGGTATCCAAGAATATATAACATCACAGGCTATTAATAACCTATTAATACAATATAATCACATTTGGGAAGCTATTTTAATTTAAAACAAGGCTTTGAGAGTTTAGTCCCTTAAATATGGGATACAAACCTGGAATCTATGTTTTTAAACTGCAACATTTGTAATGGCTTAGATATATGCACTAACCTGAAGGCAAAAGACTGAAAAATGGCTAACTCATTTGAACTGTAGTTGTTTTGTTTTGTGTTTTAATAGAATGTCCTGATGTGGCACTGTAGGATAAGCACTAGATTGCTAACTGAAAGGTCAGCAGTTCAAAGCCACCAGCCACTCTCCTATACAGCGTCACTATGAGTTAGAACTGACTCGACGGCACTTAACATTACTAAATGGAAGAAATCATGAGTTTATGCAGTTATGTCTGTAGACCATGATGACCTTATTTCTCATAGACAGGTTTTTCAAATCCTATTTTATCCCTAAGGAGCCCTTTCTATAGGAATATTTCAAGCAGAGTTTAAAGAATGAATTTAGCATTCTTTAGATCACATATTGCACAGGATACTACACAAATCCAATTTGCATAAGCCATCCTAAAACCAAATAATGTTTGCTGAGTCATTCTAAATAATGGTTATTCCTATCAATCTACTAACTATTGAAAGCACCAGTAGGCAACAAAACAGAACTGGGCATGTGGGAGGGAATGACCTTCATCAGTGGCATTCAAGGTAAAAACAGACTAATGCTTCTTTCTGGTCTCCTTTGACCATCACAATGTTCTGAGATATCTTAATGTTATGTCTATAATGAGAATTTGCATTGGCTCATTTTAGCAGAGCCCTAAAACTACACAGTGGATAAACTCAAAAGGGCTTGTTTGCCACAGTGAAAAATTAAGTGACTTACACATTTATAGCAAAGTGAAGGACTCCTCCATATCTTTAAACTAGATAAATACAAATCTGAATCTAAGGGGGGAAATGGTTCAAGACTTCCTTAGTCTCGGCCGGTGACCTCTATTTGTGTTTGTTTCAGAGGACTTGAATAAACAGAGGATAAATACTTGATGTTTTGGAAGAACAAAACAACCCTAGTAGCTGGACAAATAGACCTATGAATTGCTATCAAGTGCCATGAAATCAGTTTTGACTCATAGCAACCCTGTATAGTATTTCCAAAGAGTGACTGGTGGATTTCAACCACCAACCTCATGGTTAGCAGTCCCTGACCCTCTACTTTTTAACAAGTTTGATCTCCCCTCCAGTAACTGGTTCCACCTGTCCAAAATATGAGGTGAAGTTTTGCCATCCTCCCCTCTTAGGAGTATTCTGGCTACACTACTTACAAGACAGATTTGTTTGTTGCTCTGGCAGCCCATGATATATTCAGTATTTTCCACCAACAAATTTCAAAAGTATCAAATTTCAGTCTTCCTTATTCACTGTCCATATGAAGAAACTGAAAAACATGGCTTGGCTCACGTGCACCTTAGTCCTTAAAATGACATCTTTACATTTCAAAATTTAAAGAGTTCTTTTGCAGATTTGCCTAATGCAGCATGTTTAATTTCCTGACTGCTAACATAGGTGTTGACGATAAATCCTATCTTTTCTTTATCATGATGTTGCTTTACTGTTCCAGTTGTAAGGTTGTTTTTCCCCCCCTTGATGTTGATATGATCCCTACTAAAAGTTACAGCCTTTGATCTTCATCAGTAAGTGCTTCAAGTCCTCTTCATTTTCAGCAAGTAAGGTTGTATCATCTGTATGAGTCTTCCTCCAAATCCCAATGCCAACTCTATTTCACGTAGTCCAGCTTCTTAAATTATTTGCTCATCATACAAACTGAATGGTAAAAGGATACAAGGTTGATGCATACCTTTCCTTATCTTAAACCACACAGCACCATCGCTCTATTCAAACAACAGCATCTTGTTCTATATACAAGAGTTCAATAAGTGTTCTGGAATTCCCATCCTTACTACTGTTATCCTTTATTTGTTATGATCTGCAATTCAATATCTTTCTTGTACTTTCTTCTTTCAGCTAAGATCCATCTGACAATATCAATGATACCTCTTGTTCCACCTCCTCTTCTTAATCTGGCTTGAATCTCTACACTGAAATAGATTCCAACTCATAAGGACCCTATATGACAATATTAATGATATTATTCAATAATTTCCACATTCTGCTGGGTTACCTTTTTTTGGAATGTGCACAAATATGGAGCTTTTCTTGTCAATTGGTCGGGTACCTGTCTTCCAAATTTCTTGGTATAAACAAGTGAGCACTTCCAGCACCACATGTTTGTAACATCTCACTTGGTATTCCATCTAGCCATTGTTTGTAGCCAATGCCGTCAGTGCAGCTTAACTTCTTTCTTCAATACCATCAGTACTTGACTGTTGTTAAGTGCCGTTGAGTCAGTTCCGACCCATAGCAACCCTGTATAGGGTTTCCGAGGAGCAGATAGTGAGCTTGAACCGCCAACCTTACAATTCAAACAGCTTTGCAGTCTGGCGCATTAATCCACAGCACTACACCAGGACTTCAAATACTGAATTGTTGGCAAATTCTTCTTGGTACAGTGATTGCATGTATTCCTTCCTTCGTTTGTTTCCTGTATCCTTCAATATTTTGTCCATAGACTCCTTCAATATTACAACTTGGTTTGATTTTTTTTTTTTTTTCCTGTTTGAAAAGTATGTCCATCCCCCTTTAAGTTTTCTAAATCTGGTTTTTTTATATTTCATTATAATACTTTACCGTCCTTCTTGAGATGCCTGCCCTTTGGAACTTTCTGTTCATTTTACCCATTCTACTATCAAGAACAAATTTTAAAATCTTTTCTGCCATCCATTTTTGTCTTTTCTTTCTTTGTTGTTGTCCTTTTAATGACATTTTGCTTTCTCATTGATGTCCTCCCACAACCTGTTTGGCCTTTGGTCATCAATACTGAATACATGAAATGATGGTCTCTAAATTCCAGTGGGAGATACTCAAAGTTATACTTTATATAATGTTCTGCTGCATTAAAAAGCCATGAGGCTTTTACTGGCTAATTTGTTTCAGAAACATATTACTAGGATCTCCTTCCCAATCTGTTTTAAGAAGCTCTGTTGAAGCCTGTCCACCATGGGTGACTCTGCTGGTATTTGAAGTATTGGTGGCACCAGAGTAAGACAAGCTGACAGAGAAGTGGTAGAAGGAAATCTTAGGGACAAGGAATAGAAAATATTCAGAGAAACAAAGGATGACACGACTGGTGCTTTTTCTAAAACTGGTAAGAATAATCACCAAATAGTTATGAGGAGATGGAAACAAAACAAGGTAAGTTCCGCCTAGAGAAAACCTGTTAACTATTCATTCTCACCCTTCAATTTGTGACAGCAGCTTACAAGAAATTTTTAACTAATGCCAGATAGTAGTCTCACAAGTATAAATCCACAGAAACTGTACCATCAAATTAAAAACTACACGACTAATAAAACAGGAAATATCCTAAACTAAATAGTTACTTACGCCCAAAAATCTTCAACAGTATCAAACTTAGAGATGAGCCGAAGGTTTGCTTGCCAAGTTTTGCTTTTATCATTTTTAAAAAACCAGAGCGCCCATCTACAGTAAACAAAACAAAACTAAGTGTCAGAAAATATTGGTTGTTTTATGGTGGCAAATAATGAATAACTTCTGTATTTCTTTCATTTAAAAGTATATATTTTGTGCCTGCTGCATAAGAGATTTTCTGCAAACCCACAAATGGAGTCTCTCAATGGAATTCACAGAAATGAAATAGAGACAAGTGCAGTGTGTTTAGTGCTATGACAACAATAATCAAAGTTACTTAAGAAAGCAAAGCAGAGGCACTTAACCACACAGGACAGTGAAGAAGAGGAAAGCTGAGTCTTCAGAGGAATAAAAAAAAAATATTAATTAAAACGGAGAGATAGCAATGCTAGAAAGAAGAAATTATTCAATGTGATTTTATGTTTACTCAAACCCACAAATGAGAGAATAATAAAATTTAATATAAGGATTCAATGAGTACTGCTGCCAGTTAAATTCAGAATATATACAAATTTCTACATTTCTATACACGCGTATTAATTTAATACATTAAAGATAAATGCTATCATTCTAAGATATCTTTCATATAAATCAAATTCAATATTCTTTGAATTACTATACCTAAAGTTAATGGGAAATGCCACTTCTTCTGGATTAAATTGCTGAATGAAGCTGAAGAAGTCTCCAAATGGACACATACTTCATACAGCTTTATGATTGATTAATGCTCTAACCCCAGTTAGAGATAAAGAGATGCATTTTAATATCTATTTGATAATTTGTCTGCATTTGACAACTACATTTTAAAAAAAAAAAAAAAGGAGGAAAATTTTTAATAATTCAGTCATTTTTAATAAATCTAAAACTATCCACTGAACAATAAAAACCTTGTTCAGTGTAAATAATAATTATGTGACTGAGCAAAAATGTTTGTACAAAGATGTGTATTTTGAAAAAAATGTAATAGTCTAAATGCCTACAACTGTATTATTAAAATCAGGAGACTCAGAGCGTAAACTGCATATCCCAAGACCCTTCCAGGACCCCTAAGAGATGAAAATTATTTTTATAATTAATACACCACTATTTTTTTTAAATCTAATTAATAAAAAGTTGTTGTTGAGTGTCACGGAGTTGGTTCTGACTCATAGCAACACTGTATAGGGTTTTCCACGGATCAAACAAATGGTGAGTTTGAACCACCAACCCTGTGATTAGCTATCCAATGCTTATCCTACAGCACCACACACAACACCAGAAGTTCAATGGTAAAGAGCAATGGTAAATCTGTTTGCCTTAGAAAAAAATAAGGAAGGGGTACTCAACTGAACTAACAATCACTATATCCTTTATCAACATCAATCCTCACAGTCCAGCACCAGTTTGATAAGAATGGTCTTGCTGAAGAATTAAAATTATTAGTGTCATTACATTTAAATCTGTACATGTATCTTTTCATATTCTGTATGAAAAACATTTCTAATGTGTATCAGTATACAATACATATACAACTCTTTGAATTGGGAGGGAAACCAGTCACTAATATTTTTTACTTCAAAGAATAATTACTACAAAGTGGTTATGAATCGGGCTGCTAATCTCATGGTCACCTGTTCGAAATGATCAGCTGCTCCGCGGGAGAAAGATGAGGCTTTCTATTCCCGTAAAGATTTACAGCCTCAGAAACCCTGTACAGGGTCGCTATGGGTTGGAACCGGCTTGATGACACTTAACAACAACAATAACAAATGTGATGGTGGGAGAAAGATGAGGCTTTCTGCTCCCATAAATGTTTACAGCCTCGGAAACCCTGTACAGGGTCACTATGAGTGGCAACGGACTCGACGGCACTTAACAACAACGTGATGGCTAAAACTGTGGTTGCCTTGGCAAGGTCAGACCAAGTGATTTCACAGGACTTAAACAACACTTAACAACAACAACATTGTAATGGATGGGGCCCTAGTGCAGCACTGGCGGGTCAGCACTGGATGCTAACCAAAAGATCTGCATACAAACCTACCAGACACTCTTGGGAATCCTACACAGGCTCAATATGAGTCGGAACTGACTCAACACACTTAACAATAACAAAATTGTATAATTATGTGTTTCAACATTTAAAACATCTGCATAACTTATTGATCCAGTATTTTCCAAATATAAGATAGACCAACAAAAATTAATTTAATGAATTAGGAAAAGATTTTAAATATAGGTTAAGACTCCACAATTCAACCAATCTTTAGGAAACTGAAGAATATTCACAATTACTTTAAAGGATTATTAAAAATTCTCTATTTTCCAACTGCAAATCTGTATAAGGTCAGACTTTCTTCTTACATTCCACCAAAACCAAGTATCACATACTAAATGCAAAAGCATATCTGAAATCCAAAATCCAGCTGATTTAAACCTAGAACTTCAAAATATTTGGGAAAACTGTAAACAATGTCTTCTTTTGCTATATTTTCTCATGAAAAGTTTTATATTAGCATGTAGGTTTTAAAAATAAATATATAAATATTTGCTTCTCAGGTTTATTTTCTAATATAGAGTCCTGGTGTGGCGCTGTAGGATAAGCACTGGATTGCTAACCACAAGGTCGGCAGCTCAAGCCCACCAGCCGTTCCTCAGAAACCCTACACAGGGGTCCATAAGAGTCAGAACCAACTCACGGCACTTAACAACATTGTAACAAAAGACCACAAAGTGCATGTTTTTAAGAACACAAGTTTCTTCTCTCACAGTTTCAAAGGACAGCAGGATACTAGGTATGCTCTTTCCTTGCCAACTTTGGGACTCCTGGTGTGGCGCTGTTGGATTAGCACTAGATTTGAACAAGGTCAACAATTCAAACCCACCAGTTGCTCCTCAGAAACCCCGCACAGTCATTTAAAACAATGAAGCAAAATCTGTACAGTAACACAAGTCATTAGCTTTGTCATTTACGTAATACACAACCTGTTATACACAAATATCATGTTATTCTTGGATTCCAAGAGTACTACTCTGTCCCAGTTTATATGTCTCTATCATTCATTCATAGGCATTCTTCTTCAACATAAACCACCTAAATGCTGGTGTCTCAAGTTTCTGTAGTGACTCAACTTCTTAAAAGACCTGTCATTCACTAAGGTGGTTTTGAGTACAACCGATCTACTCATAAATTTCAAACCATCTCTCCCCTAGTTCTCCTTTCTGAACTCAAGACTCACATCCAACTTCTTGCTAGACATGGGCAGCCTAGTGCAAATGGAATCTTCAATCTTTCTATCTAGAATATCCAACCTTTCCCTCCAAACCCTGCTGCCTAAGTCAGAACACCTCTGACCTTCACATCAGTCACCAAATTAAGGAAGGAGTTAGTTCTCCCTCCTAAGTATCTCTGCAATTTCTTTTCTTTACTACTACCACCATTGCTTTGGAGTCCTGGGTGTGGTTCTGTAGGATAAGCACTGGACTACTAACTGCAAGATTAGCAATTCAAACCAACACCAGTTCACTCCTTGGAAACTCTATACAGGGTTGTTATGAGTTAGAACTGACTCGAAAGCACTAACAATGACAAACCTCCATTGCTTTAATTTAGGTCACCATCATCCTTTGCCTAGACTATTCAAAGAGCCTCCAAAGTACTTCCTCTTATTCTAATCGATTTACACTACTTTCAGATCAGTTCAAAGCTAAAACCTAAAGTTCCTTCATTAAAGCTCTATATTCCATGGTGAATATGGTTCAAACATTCTCCATCAAGGCAGTTTCCAGTCTCATTTCTATACCACAATCTTCTCTCACCATTTCCCCTCTCATTTCCTGTAACCTATAAAGCTATAATGGAGTCTTGGTGTGGCAACACAGGATAAGCACTAGACTGCTTACCACAAGGTCAGTGGTTCAAACCCACCAGCTGCTCCTCAGAAATCCTAGTCAGAGTTACTAGGATTCAGAACTGACACGTTGGCACTTTAACAACATAGGGTTTGCATTAAAGAGTCCTGGTCAGGCTGTGATTAGGCATTTAGCTGCCAGCACAAAGTCAGCAGTTTTAACCTACCAGCCACTCCAAGGAAGAAAGGTGAGACTGCGCCCGGAAAAGATTTACAGTTTCAGAAATGCTATATATAGGATCATTATGAGTCTGAATCAACTCAATGACAATGAATTTGGTTTTTTCCGTATGTCCTTACAAGGAACCCTAGATGCTCGATGGTTAAGTACTCGGCTGCTACATAAAAGTCAGCAGCATGAATACATCCAACAGCTCTGTATGAAAAAAGACCTGGCACTCAACTCCTGTAAAGGTTACACAACAGCCTAGGAAACATATGGAGCAGTTCTACTCTGTTTCATAGGGTCCAAGGGAACTTTGTGATGATGGAAATATTTTATATCTGTGCTACGGGATACACAGCAAGTCAAGTGAAATTCAAGCACACAGGTAGCTACTTTATACTTTAAAGAGTATGCTGGGGCTGCTGCTAATTGCCATCAAGTCATTCTGAAAAGCCGCTAGTGTTTGAACCACCAACTTTCTGGTTACCAGTCTGGTGATATCCTACAGTATCACACCAGAACACGGCTTAAAAGTATGTTGTTGTTGTAAAGTGCCATTGAATGTTTTAATTCATAGTGACCCTATATAGGATTTCCAAGTAGCAACCAGCGAATTTGAACCACCAACCTTGCGGTTAGCAGTCCAGTGCTTACCATACCGTGCCACACCAGGTTAAGGTAGGGCAAAAGGCTTACCTGTTCTGTAGTGGATGTTTAATATAGTGTTCTGGGTTAGCAACCTCCTGATTAGATTCTGTTTTCTCTTCTTCTGTAGGCAGGGGATTAGGAGTAGGAGTGGTTTCCTAATGAAAAACAATAAAACATTACTTAGTGGAATATGACAACGATTATTAAATAAAAAGTTAAAACCAATAGGCCAGCATGGAGGGATTGGAACCATGGACCCATGGCAGTGAGATGATATACGATGGAATGAATGTAAAACTAAACTTCTCCCATGTAAACTATCATATAATTCACAAAAAAAAAAAAAAAAAAACCAACCCACTGAATTTGAAGAAAAATGGATCTCATAT